ACGGCATATATTACTGTATCATTTTATTCAATATAATGAATGACGCATTTACAAATATGCTCATTTATATATTTGTTCCAGTTACATTAACTCGCATGCCGGCCTTACAATGATCATAGTGTCCTCCCCTTACAATGACCATAGTGTCCTCCCCTTACAATGACCATAGTGTCCTCCCCTTACAATGACCAGAGCGTCCTCCTCTTCCTGGAGCCCTAACTCTACTATCCCCTTCCCTTCACCCCGTCCCGTTTCTCTTCAGTTATAAGACAACATTCCACAGTTCCACCACGGTCCCTACCCCTGGCCCCTGGCCTCCCCTTGGCCACCACGGTCCCTACCCCTGGCCCCTGGCCTCCCCTTGGCCACCACGGTCCCTACCCCTGGCCCCTGGCCTCACCTTGGCCACCACGGTCCCTACCCCTGGCCCCTGGCCTCACCTTGGCCACCACGGTCCCTACCCCTGGCCCCTGGCCTCACCTTGGCCACCACGGTCCCTACCCCTGGCCCCTGGCCTCCCCTTGGCCACCACGGTCCCTACCCCTGGCCCCTGGCCTCCCCTTGGCCACCACGGTCCCTACCCCTGGCCCCTGGCCTCTCCTTGGCCACCACGGTCCCTACCCCTGGCCCCTGGCCTCCCCTTGGCCACCACGGTCCCTGCCCCTGGCCCCTGGCCTCACCTTGGCCACCACGGTCCCTTCCCCTGGCCCCTGGCCTCCCCTTGGCCACCACGGTCCCTACCCCTGGCCCCTGGCCTCCCCTTGGCCACCACGGTCCCTGGCCCCTGGCCTCACCTTGGCCACCAAGCTCGACATAGTCCCCCCTCGCATTATTGCCCAGATTTCCCTGGCGTCAACCCCAGAAAATGAAAACATTTTCCCGTTTTCCTCCTCCTGAACATAACAGAATTACCGGCAGGAAAAGTTAACTGTAATATTTGTGTGACAATCTGGAATGACCCAAACATTTCTTCCACATTGAGGCTAATGTGACGATTTTGTCCAAGTTTGTTTGTTAGTGAGAGAGTTGGAGTGTCACGCGTCTCTTCAGCTGGCCTCGTCTATCAGCATGTTCACAGGTCTTAATATGTGGGTTAAGACCGTTGAACCAAATGAGGTGCAACGGTCTTAGATCTTAAGATATTGACTCCAATCGTTTGTCTTCGTTTTGAATCACTAAGAGTCGTTAGGAGACACGGGCGACGAAGGGGTATCTTCTTCTTGTTGCCCCTGAGTATAGTTTCAGGGTATAAGGTATTCTCATTCGTATTTTATTCTCATTATAAGGTACACTCATTCGGTATAAGCCACTCAACGACTAACTACATAATTATCCAGAACAAATTCCACTATGTAACACTATTTCTGTGTTCCTGGATATTGTTACTGTGTGAGTGTTCATGCCTCCAGAGAATAGACAATGTCTATTATTCCCCCTCGACCTTCGCCTTGACGTAGGCCTCAGACGTGTAAGGAGAAGGCTGGAGACTTGTGGAACAAGGGGCCACGGCTGTAGTTCCTTCAAGACAACCTTCAAGAAGTCATCTCTAAGCTGTGGGATAAAAGTCAAAGCAACATTTGATGAGAATTATAGACATTTTCTATTCTTTGGAGGAATAAGCAATCACAAAATAACACTTAATACCCGGGAACAAACCTGTGTTACATTGTGAATCATCGTAGATATATGCAATTTAAACTGGAGATTATAAGAGGCTTCCAGGGGGGTCAAATATGGCATGATAGAACAAGCTCTTTTGAGGTCACCGACCCTCGCCTCTATCACTCCAGCCTCCACGGATCAAACAGGTTCCGTCAACTTCAGTCACCCTCCCCCTCCCCCTCCTGGGGGGCCGGTGACCCCCTTCCATTAGGGGCCCCCCTGACCCCTCCCCCCCTGAAACCCCCCCTGACCCCTCCTGGCACTTAACCAACTCTTCATTCATCACCACACGTAAACAAATAGTACAATGAGTCGGAAATGATAACAACTTTTTACCACAATGGAAGATCAGAAGAGATATGATCTCAACGTACAAGATACCGAGAAAAATAGACAAAATGGAAACAGATTTCGAGGTGAGGGACAAGAGGACGACGCGACACAGGTGAAAGTTAGAGCCAGCGAGGACCCAGAGGACAGCGGGTCACCACCCACCATCACTGTATCAACAGGATATCACCGCAGTCATATATGGGATATAACAGCAGTCATATATGCAGCAGGCACACCAGGTATGAGGTGGAACTCTACATCTGGAGCCAGATTCACGAAGCAGTTACGCAAGTACTTACGAACGTGTACATCTTTCCTCAATCGTTGACGGCTTTGGTTACATTTATTAAACAGTTTACAAGCATGAAAACTTGCCAATCAACTGTTGTTATTGTTATAAACAGCCTCCTGGTGCTTCGGAGCTCACTAACTGTTTAATAAGTGTAAACAAAGCCGCCAAAGATTGAGAAAAGATGTTTAGATTCGTAAGTGCTGGCGTAACTGCTTCGTGAATCTGACTCCTGGACTCTAAAGCGTGCAGCCAGTGCACAACTCGTCTCGCGCACCAAGGTAAGCACTTGTCTTCAAGGTAATAAATCCACTTCACCAATTACGACGAAGTGATTAGTCTTCCTGCCATTTATATACCTCTTATAAGACCCTAACCCGAACACCTTCCATTATAAGTACTCGGGCAGACTAGATGATAGGTTATCTTGAGATGATTTCGGGGCTTTTTAGTGTCCCCGCGGCCCGGTCCTCGACCAGGCCTCCACCCCCCAGGAAGCAGCCCGTGACAGCTGACTAACACCCAGGTACCTATTTTACTGCTAGGTAACAGGGGCATAGGGTGAAAGAAACTCTGCCCATTGTTTCTCGCCGGCGCCTGGGATCGAACCCAGGACCACAGGATCACAAGTCGCCTGCGATGTGCACTAATACACCCTTGTGAGGCCAGACAAGATGGCGACGGTCAAGGCTGATGTTATTGTCATTGTTACGTCACGTCACGTGTCTAAGCCAATGGAAACGTGAGAAATTATAGTGAGCTATGATTGGTGAAGCACAAGCCAATCAGCATGGAGTTCAACATCGGAGGCCACAAGACCTCAAGAGCTAATGACTGGAGGAACAGCACCGAACTATTCTGCAGCCCGTCCTCATTAACAAAGACCAAAAATGGCGGCTCGTTAATCCAGCCGCCAAACCCCCCTCTTTATGAGTGAAAAACGGTTTATACACGACTCTCAACTGATGACGTTCGAACTTTTTCGAAGTGCTTCGCTGACGACCTCTGTTTGAATCACAACTCTGTCAGCAGCCCGTCCTCCAAACAAAGATCCAAAAGTGATTCCATGCACCCGCCAAACCCCCCGTTTATGAATAAAAAACGGTTTACACACGACTCACAACTGATGACGTCCGAACACTTCCGAAACAAATGCTTCACTGACGACTTGTGTTCGAGCCACAACGCTGTAAATGCTTCACCCACGTACTACAAATATTCGCCAACAGAACCTAAACACCTAACCTAACCTAACCTAACCTAACTATACATAGAACTGTATTATATAATAATATTAACATATATATCAGAACAAACCTATTTTTAATACAGAACACTATGAAAGGGAATGGAAGGATATTGCAGGGGTGGGAGGGGGGGGAGGGCCGCTGCTTTAACGAGCCTGGCCGTAGGATGGGTGGCCATTGTGAGCGCTGACGAGGTGGTTACTGGCGCCTGTAATATGTGATCCGGGTAGCGGGCCTCCTGGGGCGACCATGCAGAAGATGGCGAGGTCCAAGAAAGCCTTGAGTGACTCTGAGGTAACCATCAGTTACGTTACAGTAACTACGGTCAGTTACGGGCACATGGAGGTTGCTTCCCGGTGAGTTGAATTGCTGTAATGAGGCTAAGCTTGACCTTCAAATGTTAATACAGTACCAGTAGGTACTGGTGCTACCAGTACCAGCAGGCGAGTATTAGTGGCTGCAAGTGGCGGTCACCTGGTACACCTGTGTAACCAGCGTGGCATGTGTGTTATGGGTACATATGTGGGATGTTACTGGTGGTGATGGCTGAGACTTGGTCTATATCACCACTAATGTCTAGTTACATTTCCTCCCTTAATACCATTCTTCCCTTTTTATGTTTATTACCTTCCTACCTTGCCTCCCTCCCTACCTTGCCTCCCTCCCTACCTTGCCTCCCTCCCTACCTTGCCTCCCTCCCTACCTTGCCTCCCTTCCTACCTTGCCTCCCTCCCTACCTTGCCTCCCTTCCTCCCTACCTTGTCTCCCTCCCTACCTTGCCTCCCTACCTTGCCTCCCTCCCTACCTTGCCTCCCTTCCTCCCTACCTTGCCTCCCTCCCTACCTTGCCTCCCTTCCTCCCTACCTTGCCTCCCTCCCTACCTTGCCTCCCTCCCTACCTTGCCTCCCTTCCTCCCTACCTTGCCTCCCTCCCTACCTTGCCTCCCTTCCTCCCTACCTTGCCTCCCTTCCTCCCTACCTTGCCTCCCTCCCTACCTTGCCTCCCTCCCTACCTTGCTTGCCTGTGGCCGCCTGGCCCTGACCAACACCACAAGTGGAGAGAGAGTATGAACACAGAACAAAAACACTAACAGCCTCGTAGGACAAAAACACCACCAATGTGTTTATGTTTTTAAACAATCAAACAAATCCACAACTTCAAGTTTTCAAAATCTTATTTTATCTAAACAGTCACAATCCGTACTTAATCTCTATTATTAACTCGAGGAGAAATATTTGATCTTTCCTTAACAAGCAGCTTGTAACACAATCGACGTTTCGGTCCCAGGACGGACCGAAACGTCGTTGTCCCTTCAGCTTCTAGTGTGTGGTCTGGTCAACGAAAATGGGTCGAGTCAGTACATGTGACAACCAGTCGGGACCAGGAGGTAAAGCTCGACCCTGCAGAGGGAGACGTGTGAGAGCAACACACACACACACACGAACGAGTGATGTGCCTGACACAGTTAGTCAACTGAGCGTGCAAAGTGTGGTCGGGGCAATTAATAGGTCCAGATCATTGACCTGTGTTTTCTTGACCCCTTGCTTAACGTTAAGGCTTTGTCCACATGGTGGTGTGTGCTTGTTCCCTGACGGCTGTCCTGGCTTGTTCCCTGACAGCTGTCCTGGCTTGTTCCCTGACGGCTGTCCTGGCTTGTTCCCTGACGGCTGTCCTGGCTTGTTCCCTGACGGCTGTCCTGGCTTGTTCCCTGACAGCTGTCCTGGCTTGTTCCCTGACGGCTGTCCTGGCTTGTTCCCTGACGGCTGTCCTGGCTTGTTCCATGACGGCTGTCCTGGCTTGTTCCCTGACGGCTGTCCTGGCTTGTTCCCTGACAGCTGTCCTGGCTTGTTCCCTGACGGCTGTCCTGGCTTGTTCCCTGACGGCTGTCCTGGCTTGATCACTGACATCTGTCCTGGCTTGTTCCCTGACGGCTGTCCTGGCTTGATCACTGACATCTGTCCTGGCTTGTTCAGTGACAACTGGTCATCGTTGGTCATTGCCTTGTTCATTGTCAGCTGGTCTAGTTGACAATTACACACTGAGTTCTATTAGTTAGGAAAATGAAGATCCATCTATCTATTTTTGCAGTAATTCCTTCTGAGGGCATTTTTGTATGTAATCACTCCATGGTCACATATGTCGAAAGCTTTTGCAAAATCTGTGTATATTCCATCAGTATTTTGCTTGTATTACATGGCATCTAAGGCCATTCATAGTGGTCTAGGAACTGTGAGAGGCATGAATGCCCTGTTCTGAACTCATGCTGTGACTCCATGTGTTCCACTCTTTCAAGGATTTTAATGTGATGTTAATGCTATAGGTCTATCATTTTTTGCCTTTGCTTTATTCCCTCCTTTGTGGAGTGGTGCTATCTCTGCTGTTTTATGTGTGTTGGGGATAACACTAGTATCTAGGTCATGTCTCGAAATAATATTAAGGGCCTGTGATAGTGTTTTTTCACTATTTTTGTTGAATATGAAATTCCAGGAATCAGAGCCTGGTGCAGAATGCGTAGGAATACTGTCTATGGCTACTGTCTATGGCTACTTCCAAGTCCAGTGGGGTTAGAGTGACATCTGATTCATGATTTTATGAACTAAAATTTTGAGGTTCTTTTAGTGTGTTTAGGGATTCATTGGAAACAGATTCTAAGTGTATACTCAGAATTTCACTCATTTCTTTGTCATCTGTGAAAGTTCCATCTCCCTTGCTCAGGGGCATAATACTAGATGTAATTTTTGTTCTTGATTTTCTATGAGAGAAAAAGTATTTTGGATTCCTCTCTATTTCACTAATGTCCTTTTGCTCTCTGTTTCTTCTGGATTTTATACAATTCCTGTAGCTTTAGTTCAATCTTTTCTGTTTCTCTACATAGCCTTCCTTGTCGTTCTTGAGACAGGGCGGGGCGTTCATTTTGTTCTGTAAGTTATTTCCTTTGCCAATAGAGGGAATGACGTTCTGTTCAAGTTAGATTTTTTTTTCTTAAGAAACATATATCTTGAGGTTATCTTGAGATGATTTCGGGGCTTTAGTGTCCCCGCGGCCCGGTCCTCGACCAGGCCTCAACCCCCCAGGAAGCAGCCTGTGACAGTTGACTAACTCCCAGGTACCTATTTACTGCGCCCGGGATCAAACCCGGGACCACAGGATCACGCGTACAATGTTCTGTCCGCTCAGCCACCGGCTCCCCACCTGGCTTGAGCATATTTCCTGAGCTACTCAGCTAATTTTTATGAGGCATTGATTTAGGTTTGAATTTTCTAGCTGTTCACCAACTTGCTTCTGTAAGGTCTTGGTGTACTGTGCGAAGCTAATCTGTTTATTATTAAAACTGAGTTTGCTGAATTCTCCTTCTCTAGAATTTGGGAGTGGCTGATCAGGTGTGTTTCCCCAGGCTAATCTGAACTTCAGTTGTGATCTGAGTAATAGGTATTTGTTGTCATTATCTTCCTAATCAGGTCATTATCTTCCTAATCAGGTCATAGTTATTTGTGGAATTAAGGTCTAGGGTGTTTTCTAGTTGGCTCTACTACTTACTGGCTTAAAGCAAATCTGTCATACATCGTTAAGTAGTCATTTGTGTATGACTTCAATTAGACTACCTCCTGGGATTCTCTCTGATATAACTGTATTTGCTACATTCTTCCATTGTAGATGCCGTAGGTTGAAGGTATGTATGAAGGTATGTATCCCAGGTATGTACATTGAAGGTATGTATCCCAGGTATGTATGAAGTCCCCCAAGTAAGATAATGTTTGGAGCTGGGTTTATGAGGTATTCTAAGCATTATTCTATTGTCATTAGTTGGTCTTTACACTGCTGAGGATTGGCCTCTGGTGACGTACCCAGAAGGACAATAACCACATTTAGGATCTCTAGTTTGATTGTCAGCACTTCCACCATACTGTTTGTGGTGTTGAGCAGCTGTGTGTGTGTGTGTGTGTGTGTGTGTGTGTGTGTGTGTGTGTGTGTGTGTGTGTGTGTGTGTCGTTGATGTACTCACTCTGTAACTTGTGTTTCCCGTCACATCTGAAGATTGTGCTCCGGTCTCCATATTTCACTGTTCCAGTGATCCTTTGTGTGTGCTCCGGTCTCCATATTTCACTGTTCCAGTGATCCTTTGTGTGTGCTCCGGTCTTCATATTTCACTGTCCCAGTGATCCTTTGTGTGTGCTTCAGTTAGAGCCGCAAACACTGCATTTGTCTCATTTACGTCACTTATAAAGTAGACGGTTTTATATACGTCTTTTTATGCCCTAAATGTTAGCAAATAGGAATGATGTTATCGTATCTGGGAAGTGTCAGATATTGGACTTGGTGTTAGTTATCTGGGGTTCTGGTAAGGGGACCACTGTGCTTGTGTCCTCTAACATATGGCCGAGTTGGTGGTTGAGTCTGGATATTGTTAGCCATTTTTCTCATTTATTTTTTTAAACAAAAATCTTCCTGGTATGTAGAGCTGTGGCTCTTTTAACAGTGACGTCTTTTATCTAGTAACGTCTAGTATCTGTAACCCCTAGAATCTATAACCCCTAGTGTCTATAATCCCTAGTATCTATATCCCTTAGTATCTATATCCCGTAGTATCTATAATCCCTAGTATCTATAACCCCTAGTATCTATATCCTCTAGTATCTATAACTCCTAGTATCTATAACCCCTACTATCTATATCCTCTAGTATCTATAACCTCTAGTATCTATAACATCTAGTATCTATAACCCCTAGTATCTATAACCCCTAGCATCTATAACCCCCTAGTATCTATAACCCTTTAGTATCTATAACCCCCTAGTATCTATAACCTAGTTCAGCCATTCCGCTGAACCAGCTGCCTGGTTCCTCTTATATGAAAAGCTGGACAGGACCAATGAAGTAAATATGAACTTTGATAGAACTCTCTCTCTCTCTCTCTCTCTCTCTCTCTCTCTCTCTCTCTCTCTCTCTCTCTCTCTCTCTCTCTCTCTCTCTCTCTCTCTCTGATGAAGGTCATTCATTGTATGACAGTTCCAAAGTGATGTGTTGTCCTACCCGTCGACCTCCACCTGACCGGAAAGTCATATACACAAGAGCTACAGCATATCCACATTAAAGAGAAGCTTCTGTTCCTGGCGAAGAGTGGAACGGACATGACATACCTGGTGGGAGAGAGGTGGGAGGGTGGAAGGAGGAGGGTGTCATGGTACAGCTGGTGGTGTGGAAGAGGAGTGACATCACCCACGCCCACATGAGGCCATGATGGGCTGTTGGCATGCACCTTCTCTGACGAGCCTCATGCATGACACCTTGTTTAGCTCATGATGTCCCTCTGCCTCGCCACATACCCCAGTATCTTGCTCTGCTTGACACGCTCTTCCCCTCACATATGTTCTTTCTGGCCTCCCTCTCACTCCTCTTCCGTCTGCACCTTCCATCTATGACCCCTCGTTCTGCTCTTCCTAGCTTTGAACAACTTCTTTTATCTAATTTGTCAGTTTCCCTTAGAATCTTATACGTTATCTTATCGCCCCTACTTCTCTTTTTCCTCCAGTATGGGAAGGACCAGCTCTCTCAGTCCTTCATATCTTAATCCCTTCAGCTCTGGAATAAGTCTTCCTGCATACCTTTGGATCTTGTCTAGTTTATTTGTCCTTTTTTCAGGTAAGGGTTCAATGCTGGGGATGGATATTCAAGAGTGGGTCCAGCTTCGCTGCGTATACAGCCTGGAAAGCCCATTTGTAGAAGTTTCTGAAGGACACGCGGATGTTGGCCAGTGTGCCATATGGGGCTGTTGTTATTCATTAAGTGAGCTGGCATCAGATTTGGTGTTGTGTCCACTCCCAGGTCTTTCTCCTTTTTCTGATTGAAGAATATGTTTTCCCTTCATCCTATACTGTTGTACTGGTCTTCGCACCCCTGTTCTAATCTTCATTTAGAACAGGTTCTAATCTTCATTTGGAATAGGTTCCAATCTCTGGACTGGATTGTAACTGGATTTGATTTGATTGAATTGTTGCAATCTTTGATTACATTTGGCTGGGTTAAACTCTTGCAGCTATTTTTCAGATCACTTCTGGAATGTGTCCATGACCGCTTGCGATGCCTCACATTCTCTCTCTCTGCCCTGACTCTTCTCATCAGTTTTGCATCATCTGCAAACACTGATATGAAGGAGCCAATTTCCTGTGGCAGGTCGTTGACATTTATCAGAAACAGGATGGGCCCGAGAACCGGCGCTTGTGGTACTCCCCTTGTAACCTCTCTCCACTCTGATGTCTCTGCTCTCACTGTAGCCCTTTGCCTTCTTCCTGAGAGGTACTCTCTGATCCACCATACGACTGTTTCAGATACCCTAGCGTCCTTCCTGAGTTTGAGTTGGAGTGTTTCGACAGACTTCTTACAGTCGAGGAATATACAGTCTACCCATCGCTCTCTCTCTTGTTTGAGTTCTGTCATTAGCCACTTTGTTGTAGAACAGCAAGTTTGTCAAGCAGGATTTTCCTTGACTAAATCTATGCTGGTGTCCTGAGACAAAATTGATCAGTTCTAAATGTTCTACCAGCCTGCTTCGGGTCACTTTCTCTAGCAACTTGAAGGGGGATACTTGTTAGTGATAAGGGTCTGTAGTTTAACGGTTAATGTCTTCCACCTTTCTTGAAGATTAGTACCACAATACCCACTTTCCAGCAGTCAAGAAGTTCTCCTGATTCTAGAGAGGAAGTCAATATTATGGGAAGTGGGCTGCACAATGCTTCAGCTGCATTTTGTACTATCAAAGGAAACATTTTGTCTGGTCCCACGTCTATTCTCACATGCAGTTCCTGAAGTTGTATCTTTACTTCTACTTGTCTCGCTGTTATGTCAATGTGGCTCTCCTGTGGAACTGCTCATTCGGTCTGGGGCTCTAAGCTCTGGTCCTTATCACAGTCCTTATCAGCAAATCCTTATCATTTTCCATGTTTCTTCCCACACTTTCTTCAAGTCTGATAACCTGATTATTCACAGTCATCTGTGAATGTTCTGTGAATGA